CTAGTGCCCCTCACTTGCAAGAGTTTGGAATAAAGTTTCAAGGAAAGGAACTTATCTTACAAAAAAGGAAATTTAACCAATCAAAGTAACCAACAGTCATTGTACAGTCGCATTGTCAGCAGTCACAAGATTACATTTGTTTCTCCATGGGGAAAAAAGAACTATTTCAAAAGCATTGCATGTTTTTTTATTTTTATGGTTCTATTTTTTTTTTTTTTTCAATTTAAAAAGTTGAACTCTTCTCTCTTTGACTTATTTGCCTAGGCGGTGCTATATAACGATCGTTCAGTTTTGGAGAATCATCACGCAGCCGCCGCGTGGAATCTTTTCATGTCCCGGCCAGAGTATAACTTCTTAGTTAATCTTGACCATGTGGAATTTAAGCATTTCCGTTTCCTTGTCATTGAAGCAATTTTGGCTACTGATCTGAAGAAACATTTTGACTTTGTTGCCAAATTTAATGCCAAGGTAACTAGCTTTGTGCCGGTCTTCATTTTATGGCTACGTTGGAAGGTGTCAGGGACCAAAGTGTTCAACAAAAGTGGTTGCTATCAACTCTTATGTGTCAAATGTGAAAATGAAGGGCAATAAAATATTTAACCATATAGGAATTGGTCCCAACCTAAAAATCTGAGAAGTTGAGGTGCTATCTGTGTATATTACACTTTGTGCTAAAGAGGAATAATAATTTTGTGATTGTGGTTTTTTTTGTTTGACCTAATTTGCCTCATGTATATGGTGTCCTAATACAAATTACCAAGCAGTAAAGGTCAAAAACTTGAAGCATGGGGCTGGCCCAGTGGCGCACTGGATAGTGCGCCGCTTGGGAAGCGCGGTGGCGCTCCCGCCNTGGCGCTCCCGCCCGAGGGTTCGGATCCCACATACGGACCGGTTCCTGCTCACTGGCTGAGGGAGGCGTGGGGGCAGCACTGAGGGTTGCAGTCCCGTTGCCGGTCCCCGGTCCGGTACGGGGGCAACACTGAGGGTTGCGATCCATTGCCGGACACGGAAAAAGACAAAAAAACAAAACAAAAAAAAAAAAAACTTGAAGCAAAATTTCATACATCAAGCATAAATGCCCAAATGCTAATTCAAGAAAATTTCTTACCGTTTGTAGCTATATTATTTTAATAATAATTGATAATATATGCTAATGTTAAGTAGCATTTCTTATCAGTTCCATAATTAATAATTATTTTATTCATCATGTATTATTTTACTTTGTTGAACTATTTCACTATTATGCATGACAATAAAATTATTTTTAATAGTTGAGAAGTTCCTCATTATTTGGTATTCTGATCTCTACATAGTAGGAAGACACTAAATATTTCATTGTTTTCTGTCCTGTTCAAATTTTACTTTCATTGAGGCAAAACACATTTTAACTTTGTCCCTCAAACAGGTGAATGATGATGTTGGAATAGATTGGACCAATGAAAATGATCGTCTGCTGGTTTGTCAAATGTGTATAAAGTTGGCTGATATCAATGGGCCAGCTAAGTGTAAAGATCTCCATCTTCAGTGGACAGAGGGTATTGTCAATGAATTTTATGAACAGGTAAATAACTTAACTATTTAATCTATCTTAATCTATGCTTAGGCTGCTCATGAATTCAGCAAATCTTCCAAAAGCTATAAAAATGTGATCATTGTATTTAATATTCATACTTTCATCAGAAAATGCACTGGCCAGTTTTGATCAGAGGATAAAAAATGATGTGTGTAGAAATTGAACTAAACTATAACTATAGAACTCTAAGATAAAGTTATTTGCAAGCATTTTGGGGTAAGAAGATGTTGAGATAATGGACCTAGAGAGACATTAGGAAAACCTTTGAAATATTATTCTCTTATAGATTTATTTATTATACTAGAAGCCAGTTTAAATTTTCACAGAGGAATGTATATTAGATTAAGTTCATTTACTTTTCTAATAGTGTTAAAAATAGTATATGAAAAAGCCAAAAAAAAAAAAAGAATAGGTGAAATAGGTGTTTTATCTGTCATGATAACATGAGAGACTACAAAAAATCTACTATAGTGACATAAGCATGGGATAATTCTGCCAACATTATCCTACACTGATCACATTATACTTGAAGCTTTCTGTTTAGTATTGTGAACTGCTCTTTTAGGAAGATGTTATGTTAAGTGAAGTATGTCAGGCACAGAAAGATAAATACCACATGTTCTCACTCATATGTGGGAGCTAAGAAAAAACAAGTTGAGCTCATGGCAGTAAAGACTAGAATTATGGTTACTAGAGGCTGGGAAGGGGAGGAAAGATGAGGAAAGGCAAAGGTTTTTTTTTTTCCCCTTTTTTCGTGACCGGCAACGGATCGCAACCCTCAGTGTTACGCCCGCACCTCGCTCAGCCAGTGAGCGGGAACCAGTCTGTATGTGGGATCCGAACTCCCCTTTTTTCGTGACCGGCAACAGATCGCAACCCTCAGTGTTACGCCCGTACCTCGCTCAGCCAGTGAGCGGGAACCAGTCTGTATGTGGGATCCGAACCCGCGGCGGGAGCGCCGCCACACTTCCAAGCGGCGCACTGTAGCAGTGCGCCACCGGGCCAGCCCCAAGGCAAAGGTTTTATAATGGATACAAAACCACAATGAGATAGAAAAAATAAGTTCTATTGGTCTACAGTAGAGCTGGGCATCTATAATTAAGAATTATTTATTGTATGTTTTTGAATGATTAGAAGAGAGGAGCTCAAATGCTCTCATCACAAAGAAATAATAAAGTTTTGGTATGATGAATATGCTAATTACCCTGTTTGATCATCACACATTGTACATATGTACTGAAAGGTACCCCATATATGTACCCCATATATATGTACAATGAATATGTATCAATTAAAAAAAAAAACATGGAGGTAATGGAGCACGGGTAAAGGGCAGGAATCAGTGACATAAAAGGACACGAACAAAGTAAAGATATTTACCCTGAGAGAAAACAGAAGTCTTCTAATGACTTTTCAGATATTTAAAGGACCAATATACAAATTTAGGGATAGGTTTATTATAATGTTGCTGTGAAGATTAAAGAAGATAAATTATATAAAGTACTTAACACAGGATCTGATTCCTAAAAAAATGTTACACCCCTCTCTACTGCCCTAAAAAGGGTATGAATTTAACCAGTCTATGGAATTTATTGGGAGATAGAGTTCAGGTCAATGTGAGAAAGAAATTTATATTGCTAGAGATGTCCAAAAATAGGATGAGGCGCCTTATTAAATGACAAATTGTATGTCAGTGGACGTATTTAAACAGAGATTAGAATGAACTTTTATGGTTATTCTAGGCAAGACTCATATATAGAATAAAAGGTTTGTGCTTTAAAAAAAAGTAATGTATTGCCTTTCCTAGGAATGGGATTAATTCATAGTTAATCCTGAAATATTGAAATGCAGAAAAAATGTATAGATCCACATATGATAAAAAAAGGAAAATCCACATATGATAATTTCACTACTCAGTCATAGCCATTGTTGGTGTTAGTATTTTTGGTATATTTTCTTAATTTTGCTAGGTAACTTCTGGTTTGCAATCTGTTAATTTTTTTTTTCCAGAAAGATTTGAAAAATTCAAAGTAAAACACTTATACAGTAATGCTATTAAGCGTAATAGATAAATAAGAATATCAGAAACCATATAAACACAGAAGATATCATTCAAACAAAATCTAGGATAAAGTAGCAACTTCAGTCGAACAATAAATTGTTTTAAGCTTTCTGGCAGCCAAGGCAAACACGGAAACATGATAGAATATAAATTTGTTTGATAATTATTCCCAGCATCACATTTTAAGATGCATTTATATCCTCATATAAGGGATACTGAATAGTGTGATAAGAAATATCTACTAAGACATTAAACCACTTCTTGTATCTCCCCTTCATAAATAGCCAATGTCTCAAAATCACACAAGTAGTAAATAGCAGCAGAGTACATGGGGTCTTCAAAAAGTTCATGGAAAGATTTGTATTATCTTGCAATACTATTGTTCCATGAACTCTTTGAAGTACCCTCATATTTACACATTTCAGATGCTTGATAAGTGTTGACTTATATTTTAAGCTTACCTTGTC